GACTGTTAGCTGCCTTTCTGGGTGAGTTAAGTCTGTTTTAAAAAATCCATTCTTAAATTCTTCTGTACACAATCAGCATTTCATCACTACAAAAATAAAGGAAGATTTAAACCAAGAAAATAAAGCAGCTCTATCTTCAATTTGGTCTTAGTTACAAAAACATCTTACAAAGCTTTGCCCTGATACACCATTAAGTGTTCTCCAAGATTTGGAATAGTATTTCCATTAACCAGCTTTCACAAGTTAACAGACTATTAAGACGAATATTAGATACCTGAACTTTTCTTATATTGATGCTTTTCTATTTTGCTTAACTCTTATATGCACACCTACATTTCACAAAAATAAAACTACAGCATTAAATTTTGTGCAATGTTTAAGAAAATTCTTAGAACATTTTAATAAATATAAAAAAGGTTTAAATTCTTTCCCACCCATAAGGATGTCTGTACCTGAAAAAATGTGATTTACTTTTGAAGTCTTGTTTATATAAAATTAAAGGGAGAAAAGATGACCATAGATAGAAAACTGCCTTTTTGTGGTTTTACTACTTGAAGACCACCTGTATTCATAATTGTTTGTAAAAGTTAATTTTAAATCATTAAAGATAGTTGATTTTGAATATGGTAAACATAAGCTGAGCACTGACTGCATTTAAAATATACAAATGCTCATTAAAGACAGTGGTTTTATGATCAAATATGGTTCATTTCATATAGTTTGGTAACGTCAAAGTATGACTTGTCAAGTGTCCCACATACTGATATAAAAACTACCTTAAGTATTTGTTCGGAGTACCAGCAGGTATTAGATGGTCTGTATGCCGAATGCACTTACACATGTGTTTCAATGTATGAATGAGTGTGTGTCAGAGAGGGAGTGATTACATCTACTTCAGAAGAAATACTTAGTGGGTCATTTGAGGCGGTATTTTGACAGATATCCAAGAAAAGGTCGAGGTACATCTGCTTCCACTGCTGAAATTCCTTAGATGTCAAGTCCGGATTATCCAGGACCTTATCAATGATGGCTACTTCCCCTTCTCTGGCCTGAAAAGAAAAGAAAAGAAAAAAAAAACAGGATGGGAACAATTTTTCATTCAAGTTTAAAATAAAAAGTTAATAGGTAAAACATCTAGAAGTCCGTAAGAAATGGCTTTGGTATATCCCCACTCAGGTATTTAGACTCAAGCTCTCCTGCGCTTTATTCTAACTCAGACAGATACCTTGTATTGCTCACTTGATGTATCTTATTTTTCTCTTGGCCTATTCTGCTGCTATGCTCTGCCTATGCAGACCTTCCTCATGCTTTAAGATCCAATTCAAAAGCCTTTCATTTTATCGAACCTTCCTTAAACACTTGGGGAAAATGTTTTCTCCCTCGTTTGTGTACCTAAAACACTCTATCCCTGCCACTGAGTGGACTTATCACATCTCATCTCTTGAGTTACTCTGTTACTGTCCTTCTCCTTCTATATGGTAAACTCTTTATGCTTGCCTCTGTGTGAGCCAGAGTTGGGAAAGAAAGAAAACAACAAGGTGCCTAAGAAGTGGTTCCGATCTCAGAGGCAAGACAGGATATGGAACAGGGCCAGCAGACACTGAGAATGTTAGAAGTTGCTGGTGGTGGGATCCAAGACCTATACTTGGTGAGGGTGCCTTTAACAATTCCTGGAACAAGACACATGCAGGACTGCTTCGTCAATTGTTCTTTTATAACTTAATACTTTTCCATGTCTAAGTAAAGGGTAGTTAATTTTTACCAATAAGGGCCATTTCTTTATAATGACTTCTTCTTTATCTTTCTTTGTTCCTGAGAGTCAAGCAGAGAACCATCTACCTGGTGATTCATCAAAATATACTGAATTGTACACTGGCAGTAGCTCATATTCTTTGACACTAAAAGAAAATGTTTTTCAGGAGTCTACAGAACATAAAATGGGAGGGGTGAAGGAAAAAGGAGTGGGTCTTTGAGATATGTGGGCTTGGTCTTCAAAATGCCTGCTTGCCTTCTCTATCAGACAGTTTGGGCCTCAACAGGGGGAAAGGGGGAAGCTCTATAAGGAAGGAAGGTGAAGATATCTTTGAAGTAGTGTTGGTCACTGGAGTAACTTTTGAGTTGTAGGGTTACCGATAGTTACCTAAAGTAACTTTAGTTACCAAAAGTCCATTAAATTGTCCCATGGATTTGTAGTATTTTCATGAATACCAGTTAAAAGCTAATTGACTCTGAAAATTTGTTTGCTTACTATCTGAAAAATTTTCAAATCATTAATTTTCTATTGTTTATCTCTTTGATACTCAACTATATTTCAAAATTACAAAACCTTAGCAACATGCTATGGATTTGAATTATCTTCCAGTGGAGCCCTTTGGCATTCTGCTTCATGAAAGATATTCTCTATGATAGTTCTTTCCTGAGTCTGATTGTTCAAGAGTAAACATCGGGTCAGGCAGTGTGTGTGGTAGGTCTCCACCACCCTTGTCCTCCCTACCCACATACACACACAGTGAAGGCTGTTCACTCGTCTGCCTCCTTCCACTTCCTGCCTCTTTGCTCCTCTGTCCTTAGCACCTTCTTCCCAATCTGGGTGTGGCATAAATAAGAAGACTGTAAACAATGTAAGCACTTATAGAAATATATAATAGGAAAGTAACAAGTGAGTTGGGAACTGATAGTGTAAATAGAACAATTATACATTTTCTACATCAAACACAAATCACTGTGGTTTTAGTGCAAATCCACTGTAGTTTATGCAGGAAACACTCACAAAATACTGTATTTCAAACCCTTTTAACATTCACTATTGCATTCTGCATGCATGCTGTGTTCCTTTAATAACTGCAATAAGTATACAATATGGTATATTTATCTTAGGAAATCAAAAGACTGAGGAATAACACCAGCTCTGCATTTTTGGAAAAAAATTAATCACATCCTGTTTTCCTCTAGAACTAAATTACATAATAGTCAGTGTTTTGATACTTTAAACGAAAAATTAACATCTCTTCTTTACCAGTGCTTCAAGTTCTGTTTACCTCTTCCTCCTCACTGGCTCCCATTTTGTACTAAACTATAATACCTGCTAATACATTTTCAGTTCAAAAAGAAATCTCCTGAAAGGAATTTCTGCTTTCATCTCATATCTTACCTTTAAAGTGCTTTTGAGAATCCTCAGCCTGTGTAGTTTTTCATTCATTACAGGATCATTACATCGTTTTATAAATGATAGCTTGTATTCCATTTTGGTTGAAATGCGATGTTCTCCTATTGGTGATAGACTGGCTTGCTCCAGTGCCCTGTATAAATCTTGCAAGGAATCTCCTAACTTTTCTTCCCTAGTTTCACCTGTAATGTCAACAAAACAGAGAGAGAACAGGCAGAAAGGAAGAGGGAGAGAGGGGGGGGGGGGATGAGAGAGAGAGAGAGAGAGAGAGAGAGAGAGAGAGAGAGAGAGAGAGAGAGGTATGAATCCAGTGTAATAAAGTTACTTCAATAAAGTTGTTACTTGCTACTCTGAAAAATCTACTTACAAACTATCTGCAAATCAGGGTAATGAAAGACTGGGAAAGCACAATAAGATTACCTATGACATGTAATTTATTTTAGAATGATCAAATGATATGATTCTTTGATTAAACAAAGATTTTCTTAATAGCAAATAACTACATATCTTGACTCCATTAAATTTAAAGAATTATAGTACAAAAGGTACATAGGGAAATAATCCTGCACATAATTTAATATTTAAAGAAATTAATGAATGTTACTTATTATTATACTGGTAAGCAGAGAAGTGCTGGTTAATAGAACTCTCTTGGTTTAATCAATACTAGATTAATTTTCACATTTTTCCAGACTTTATAAGATGAAATGGCATTCTGTGGCATATATCTGATTATAAAAATTTTCCAGTTGTTTCACTGATTAGTTTTCATGTGACTGCCATAGTAATGCCTGGAACATTGTAAATAACTGATTATAAATTATCATCAATAATAATGTTTTAATTAAAATGAAATATAGAGATATATTTATATGTAACTATAAGGAAAAATTCTGGCATGTACTGAGAAGCTACTTAGCAGTGCAAGACCTGGGAAGAAAGTGCTCCAATTAAATATTTTTGAAAAAAATTTATGTACTAGTTTGGGTAAGGATTTCAGACCTAGTTGAATAAATAAAACTGCCATTTTGTTTATTGTTGTCAATTTGTTTTATCATAGGACAAAGACAAACTAGGATTTTGCTTGGCATGGTACACAGGGCCATATGATGTTTCTTTTAATAGCCAGAGTCATATTTAAAGAACATTTATTATATTGGCCGTGAACTAAATATGGAATTTTATTAATTCCACCATGGTCCTGGTGAATATTTTAGGCTTTCTAACAAGTTTCAAGAGAGATACTTTGTTAATACTTGTTAACAAGTAGATGTGCCAGGCAGTAGGTTAAATGCTTAACATTCACAATCTCCTTCAATCTTTGCCACGATACTAACCGAAGAGCTATTTGATCTACATTTTTGGCTGGAAAGCACCTTGTTCAAGGTCACACTTCATAAATGGTGGATCTAGAATTCTAAGTGGATTGTCTGGATCTAGAATTCCAAGTGGATTGTCTGGCTACAGAAATAATAATTTTCACAAGAATTCTGTCCTGCCGATTTTTCAGTAATCATTTCAACTATGTATTTAACAATAGGTCCTAATTAGTGAAAGGCTCCCAGAATGCAGCATTCTATTTTTTAAAAAATAATGTACCTAAAATTGCCCCAAAAGCCTAAAACATAAGTAGTTTAATTTGAAGGGATCAACTTTAGGATCAAAAAAGTAGTTTTAATTAAATTTCATATTTAACTTTTGGCTCTGTGGCTGAGGTTAGCAACTAATGCTAGATATGACTGAATTTTCCATTACAAAGTTCCTTGTTGCTCATGAACACATACTATCACTAAATTCTCTATAATAAACGTAAACTTCTCAACCATATATTTAGGCTAGAATTATAATCTAAAAATAAAAAATTCCCCTTAATCTATAACCCTTAAAAATCTATAACCTCTTAAATTATGTGTTGGCTCACCCTTCAGTGTTTTCAACAGCTATAGGATTTTCATGGATGGAGGACCCTAAAAAGGAGGAACTGCTTTGTGAGTTAAAAGCAAGTTAGAAACAAGATAGAGAATTTTCACTTAGAATGCTTTGGAATGAGGAAGGCACAACATCATGTTCATTTAAAGTAAGTAAATGGAGTTGTAAAAACAAGAATACATTTGAACAGTATAATTCCATTTCATAAAGCCATAGGCTAGGAAAAGACTCCAAGGAATTATTTAGTAGTATCATTCTTTTTGCATCAAGGCAAGACTGCATCTAAAGCCAGATGTAATTTCATAGAGTAGAACATGGGATAGAAATGGGAGGCCTAACAGATGAGAAGAATAGTAGTTAAAGTATAGGTAACCTAATGTGTAATTACTTTTCCAGTTCTGGAAAGAAGATAAAGGACAAAAGGGATTCGAACTATAGTTTGATGAATTAAGGGAGGCAAAAGTATCTTTGCACAGCAAAAAAGAAAACACTTCTCCATTTTACCTAACACTGCTGTCAGTATATATTTTGTTCAAAGTCACATTTTGACTTTGTTTTCTTTTTCCCTAACTTTTAACATTGTGGAATACTGGGGCAGATTGACTTTTATAAAATTAAATGTACTTTTACTTTAAGAAGGATAAGTGAAAATTTAATATAAAAATGACATATATATGTATTTAAAATAAGTGAAAGGCTTTCCCCCATTCTTGATATTATAGGAAAAAAAAGCATTCAACCAAAAGACAACATAATTCTACAAAGAATCTTGTTTGATGGCTGTAAGAATTGAGTATGAATTATCTCTGGGCAGCACATTTGAACAAGGAATCACAGTGAGACTGAACACAGAGACATTTCCGAAGTAATGGGATAATGGCTCCTATCAGAGATTGGAAAGCCCCTGTCAACCCCTTTCAGATCATACACAGATGCAACACCACACAAGACACAGTAGTGGAATGGTAAGGATGAGGGACTGAGATGCCAGGCTACCACAAAATGCCACCAATTATTTAACATTTTAAAGACTATACAAAGAGTCCTTTTGTTTTCAAAGGTGGGGGTGAAGGGCAGAGTCACATTATAAATCTGATTCACTGTGCTCAACAGTCAAAACAACACAGAACTCAACATTCAAGACAAAAACAGACCTTTATTTTCTTTTATAATTTTTCAATTGGTTTCCTAGATTTTTCTCAGATGCATACCAAATAAGTCAACTGGGGCTACTGTTGCAACCAAAAATATGAAAGCACCTTTGTGTTCTTCTCCTTTTGCCCTCTTCTTCTTTATGTCATTTTCATTTCTCTTCAGGCTTCTCTTTTCAGTCCTTGCTTTTCTTCCTTTAGAAGTGGCTTGCTTTGGAAGACGAGGCAAGCTTTTGGTGAGGTCTGCTTCCCGACTAAATTTCTTTCAATGTGCCAATTCAACTACTGGAACACTGGCTGAAAACCTGCTCTTTTACAATTTGAATGAATGTTTTCTGAAAGCTGGCAAAGTGCAGACTACATTCAAATGATGAGACATATATAGGAACCTTTGCAATTCCTAATGAGGAAGTGTATCACTGCTGCAATGGTATTTTAATCTGTATCTAATTTATTCAGGAAATCTGGACCTATGAGGGAATAAATTTTCCCCCAAGTTATATTCACATTAACAACATGTAAATTAGTCTTGGGTCAGATTACACAGTTTTATTCTGGTTTTGTTACAGCAAAGAGTGCATATAAAGTCCCTTTTCTCATATAAACTCTTATTTACTGATAGATATGAGGACCAGGACCACAATTAAGTAATTAACTTGTATTCTGTGCCAAGGGAGGATACTTTCTGGCTGTCATACTTGACAGGGGTTCAAGAAGATCCTCCCTATTGTCTCATTTATATTCTGCTCAATTATAAAATATTGTCGATCTAGGAATATAGATTCATACTACATCGCAACAGCTTACTGTATGGTTTTTATAGGTTGCATATGATTTCCAGGTAGTAAATGATAAATAAAAGCTCAGAGAAAAGATTAGCTAATGAAATTTACTAGTTTTTTATAATATCTTGCACAGTGCTTATGAGCAGATAATAGTGTATTTCTCAAATACTGCAAAGTCTTTGATGCATTTCTTTATAATTCAGGCTCAGTAGTTTCCAAACTTTTTGATTGTGTACCCTTATCAGTTAAAGCACTACTGTTACTGGTAACCTACAAACATGTATTATTCTATATTAATATATGATAAAACAGATACAAAAAATAAAGCCAAAAGGGATATATAAGACCCATGGGGAAATTCCAATGATTTTCCTCCTGTGCACTTTTTGCAATACACCTGTGTTTTCCTCTTCAGAGACCTATACTGCATGACTTTTCCGTGAGTGGAATTTGTGTCATGCTTGTTTGCATTTCCCATTCTCTACCTGGCAGAGTGCCCCATGCACTGAACAAATTCAAGTGGAGTATTAGTTTTCCCTACTTTATACACAAACTACTCTAAAGATGGTGCCCTATTAGGTGACTGTGTAATTACTACAGTCTATACTGTTATATTGTTCATATTTCTTTGTTGAGAATTAAGAACAAAAACTTAGTGGCTTACAATTTTACTCTAGTGTCCTACTCTGCCCTGTGATGGCAATTATTGAAGGAGAGTAAAATATGGAAATAAAACTAATGAGTACTGTATACCAATAGGGCTCTTGTAGAACTAAACCGACAATGGGTAATGGGTTGTGGTAGTACATGTTTTAGAAGGGAATTGTGCTCTTTTAAAATTCGACAAATGATGTCCTCATGGAAACAGTAGTTCTCTCCACAACACAGCTATGTAATGAGCACAGAAGGTTGGGAGAGGTTAAATCACAAACAGGGAAGGCTGGGGTATTAGTCACCAGTCAAATCTGAGAGGCATTTGTTCTCATATAACCACAGAGTACTTTAAGTCTTCCAGGCTAATGATATCAAGTATGTGCAACATTATTCTTGTCACAAAGGGCAATCAACATTTGCAATGATACCATAGGAATATTTTCTATGAATATTAATTTATTAGTATGCCACAAGGAATAATTTATTTATATGTAAGGTGACATACCTTTAATGGATTTAATGTTTTTGCAGGTTTTATGTAAAAGATGATTAAATATTCCAGGGATTTAATTATAATTAGAAATGTTTAATTAAATACTTGCACTCTTAATTATTGCTTTTATATAAACCAACTAGCTATGTCTATTGTAAAACTGGGGAAGG